ACAGATGGAAAAGGAGTGGAAGACAGATGGAAAAGGAGTGGAAGACAGATGGAAAAGGAGTGGAAAGTGGATGGATGGCTGAGACACGCTACCATATGACACCCCCGCTTCACCCCGCACCTCGACTTCCAAAGGGACAAAAAAAATGTTTGGCACATGTGACGCAGCATTGCCATGGTCCTTACACAGAGAATATCGTTTCTACGCGCGCGATCAAGCCAATACTCATGCCTCGGCCAAAGAGAGACCTCTCTCCCTTAAGGGACATCATCATCACAGCCTACCGCGAGCAGACCTCTGTTAGCGACATCGTTGCCTTGCTGAAAGACAAATTCGATTTAGACATCACTGATCGGACTTCGTATCGCCGCCTCAAGGAGTGGAATGAACCTCTTCACCAGCAACGTACTGCAGATACAGGTCAACTTCGTTCTATCATCGAGGATGAGTTTTACACACGAGGGTCGTCAGATACCGAAATCCTACGCTATGTCCGTTCGCTAGGCTTGCCTCTTTCCAAGGCTGGCTTGGAACGCATTCGCAAGGACATGGGGATTTTTCGTCGACGTACTCCAGCCCAACTTGAAGCACAGCTCCTCCAAGTGGTTGACTTTATGGAAACACCTTCTCTTTCTTCTATTCTCATTCCCCGTCTCGGACGCCGGTCTCTTTTGAAACACGTTCTTCAAGTCGCCCACATCCCTGTTCCAGAGAGAGCTCTCTACGAAACCTTCAGCCAGCTATACCCCGAAGAAGTCGCACGACGATGGCAGCAGATGCGTGGCAAGCGTGGAGGATTCACAGTACCTGGGCCCAACTATACGTGGTCAATCGATGCCTACTGCAAACTCCAGGATTTCGGCTTTGAAGTGTATGCAGGCATTGATGCTTATTCACGCTACATTGTCTGGTGCTACGTTGGCATCTCAGCTCTTAATGCCCGCTCGATTTTCGCGCAGTACCTTTGGGTCGTTTCCCAGTACGGATTTCTGCCGATGGTCATACGTGCAGATCGGGGAAAGGAGACAACCATGGTTGCTGCAGCACACTTTTGGCTCTCCCTCGGGACAACCTCACTTCGCCGACTTCGTCCTCGCCGAAACAGGGAGGGGGGCATCGACTGGTATGTGCCAGCGGGTGGTGGTCAGCCAGATGTTCGGGTTGACCTTGGAGTGATGGATCCAGATGCGCCGCTTTTTGGCCCAGAAAGACCGTTCCAGTTCTCGGACTGTTGGGTCTATGGCAAGAGTACCAAGAACCAAAGGATCGAGGCTTGGTGGTCTCAATTTGCAAAGGGACGGTCGACATATTGGGTTGTAAGTTTACCTCATATCTTAAACCATTTTTTCCTAATTACTAACCTGCAAAATAATGTCAATAGGAGTGGTTCAAGCAGCTCCGACAAGAAGATCTGTGGTCAAGGGATCGCTTGGCTGATCGGATTGCATTACTCTGGACCTATATGCGAGAATTATCAATGGTAACTAATTCTCTTGCTCTCGATTGCCCCAGCCTCCTTTCTTACGTCCGGCGCTTCTTAATCGGACATCTGCCAGCAGACCGCTTGTTTTTAATCTCATCCTTCACCATTTGTGCCCATTCCTCGAGCAGCTCCTCTGGGAGCTCGTCAAGCTGGTCCGAAGTGTACATCTCGAACCTCTCCTTCTCTTTCTTGGCGGACTCCTCGACCTGTTCCTGCTTTGCCGCTGTTTAGGTTAGCCTGAGACAAACCCACAAATAAGGAGAATAACATACCAATACGAAGGCTGCACGCGGTGCTCTGCCCAGAATAATAGCAATTGGTGCATGCTCCAGCACCGTGCTTAGTGGTAGGGACACGGCAGTCGGAAGCAGGGCCACGGGACTGAAAACTGTTGCATTGCTTGCACTTGGGGTTCTGGTCTTGCGTCGGAGTAAAGATGTAAACAGCAAGAGATGTCGCACGAGTCTGGGTATCGAATTTCGGCTTAGCAGTCGTCGCCTCGCCCTGGATGAAGTACTCGCGCGGGGTAAAAAGACGCTGGACAGCCTAGCGATAACTATATGAATGAAACATGTTTGGTGTGTTGCTTTTGGATGTGTGATCATAACGTACCTTGTTCTCATATGAATCTTAGCGACTGGAGCAAAGCGGCACTGACAGAGCTCGTTCACAATCCAGCCCGTATACTCAAGGTCGGTCGTACACTTCTCATAGCTCTCCTGAGTCAGCTTGAGCTGGCTGTCCTTCCAGGTAAATGAACACAGCACAGCTGGCATGACGACAGGGGTGGGAAATAGACCGTAGTAACATCAAGCGAAAGAACAGGCTTGGGACGTGGAACAGGCAGGCAGATAAAGCGTTAACGTACAACGGAACTTTGAGGTATTGAGAAACGTGTGGCGTTCTGGGAAAGAAACCCCGGTTTGGGAATGAGCAATAAAATATGGGGGGGATTGGATTTAAACCGATAGGTTAAATCCACATGGGTGTGCACGCAGTGATGAATTTTGGGTTTTGTCAGAGTTTGAGCAGGGCACCTCCATAGAAAGCGCCGCCGAACAGTCGCGTGTTATCGCGCAAATGGAGGAGCTGTGCCCCAAGTGGTCTCTTGACAAGGTCACGAAGGCTATCGAGAACGGGGATCTGGAGCGTAGATGGCCGCCGGAAGCGTGAAAAGGGGGTTGCTTGGCTGTTCCTCTTTTTTTTCGTTCTTTGGTTTTTCTTTTTTCTGGGGGGGGGGGGAGGGAGGTGGGTGGAAAGGGTGCAAGTGTCATATAGCGTCCAATGTATGTACTGTAGCCCTGAGATTGATAACTGTCGTTTAGATCTGAAGTCCTGAAATTAGTGCGTTGAGCCCTAAATGATTAGTGGATTGGGCGCCAATTTTTAGGGTGCCAGACGGCCGGTTCCAGGGGAGCGAAATGCCTTCCCGGAATTGAAGCTCGTGCATCTCGAAAACCACAAAAATGCATCATTTCCAAAGGGTATCAATCTTTTTAGCTCGACGAGCTGCATCAGCTAATGGCTTTTTAAAGAATTTTACTGCGTGATTGCCGGGCAATACGGGAGGACTGCCAAAATTACCTCTCTGAAAGTGATATCAAAGGGCTGGGCGGTTTTTTGCGGGGTTTTCCAAAAAACGCGCCATACGTTTCAGACCTGAGATATCCACTTGGTCCCTAAGGTATGTAGTTCCGCCTTTGCGGCGTTGACTCCTAACTACCTCAAGCCTAACCAACGGTCTTTGAGTTCAATAGAACTGAGCAGCATTGGAGAAATTGCTTGCTAGAAAATTGGCTAATTAAACCTTGGCTAGAAGCTCCATCGGGCGGGACCGTGGTCTCTTTAACCACTAATTCTCCCACAATCCCATACAATTCCCCACCGCGCCCCGTCTACAATCCGCCTCCCCGTCTTATCACAGAGGGATACTCTCCGACTCCGCTATCATGATACAGCACCACAACCACATCCCCCTCTCTCATCCCACCAACAACCATCCAAACCGCCAACTTTATTTTTCGCTTGCACAGATCGTTGATTGAACACCGATTCGAATTCGCCCCGACACTGTCTCATGCCCGCACGGCATCTAATCATGACGTATGGCGCTGCGGGGCTTATTTGGAGGCCTGTGTGGCCTGGCGGTCGATGGATTGGATGATTTGGATCTAGACCGGCCTCCGTAATCTTGTCGGGGCTCATTGGGCGGCGAGACATTGCTCATCTGAGCAAGACCACGACTCCTGTCCGAAGTGCGGCGAACTAGACCGGTTGATACCGTCGACGCCGAAGAGAACGGGACGCAAAGCAGCGGAAGTCTCCGCAGCACAAGGTGCTCCAATGCTACCGATAAATACCTAAGGCGGTCTCCTCCTCCGATACGAAGGTTCTTTGGCCGGCGTGGCACGCTGTCAATTCGCAAGCTATTTTACGCGACGAAAACACCGTCTTCTTCATCAAATAAGAAGGGGACTGATATTGGATATACTCCGCTCTGCTTTTCGAGGAATGGCAGCTCACATAACGATGGGGGTTCTGGCGTCCCTCCTTCTACTTGGGCGTTGCGGTCTTGGCTTTGTACTACCTGCGGTCCATCGCGCCAGCGGCGCGGAGTATCAGTTTCGCAGCCAAAACCCCCGAGATAACTTTTGCCGCAGGCATGGACATCAAACCGTCGTCATTGACGACAAGTTGTACATCGATGGTGGCTTTGTTAACTTCGACACTTTCCCAAGTGACCACCAAACCCATTCAAGTAGGTGAAACCCACCACTCTGGGTCCGAACATGGAGCGAAATCGATGAGGAGCGACAATAAGGTCGGGTCTGACAATTGCCCAGATGCCTGGCTTGGATTCCACGACCTGAGGAACTATACCCTCCGGAACGGTGAGGCTTGGCCGAACCTCGACATCAGTCTCAACAAGGACCCCAAAACCATCCCAACAGTTCACGGCGGCGTACTCTGGGGTGATAGTGTCAACAAGCGGTTTTTCGTCGTTGGCGGCGAATACACCACAGGCTTCCCATCGTCGGATTTTCACCTCCTCAGCTACGACATCCTCTACGACAAATGGGACGATTTTGGACAACCGGCGCTGGCGACTCCACTCACGGTCTCGTCATATGGCGCCGGAGTAGGCGTATCTGAGATTGGCCAGGGTTATTATTACGGAGGGTGGATAAGCAACGCCTCCATGCGCGGATGGGAAAAAGGCAGAACGATGAGCTCGGCGTTCTACAAATACGAATACGACACCAATGCGACGACGCGTGCGAACGCCCCCGATAACCTTCCTAGAGCAGAAGGCGCCATGCTCTGGATTCCTGCAGGAGACACGGGGATGCTTGTCTACTTTGGCGGAGTTGTGAGTCCCAACGGCACGAACGATACTGCGGCTCCCCAACCACTGGATAAGATTTTTGTCTATGACCCCTCAACCAATGCCTGGGAGACTCAAACGGCAACCGGGGAGATACCGCAAAACAGACGACAATTCACTGCCGGAGTGGCTTGGGCGCCTGATAGGTCGAGTTATAATATGTAAGCTCCGGTCGCCCAACACTTGCAGGTTTTCATGGTCTTAAGCCTTGGCATCTACCTTGGACCCATACAGCTAACAGAGGGTTTATCTACCTAATTAAGTTACATATGGGGAGGTCTGAGTGTACAGCCCCCTGTCGTGAATGTCACCGCCTTCAGCGATATTTACATCTTGACGATACCCTCCTTCACCTGGCTGAAAGTCTTCCCTGACCGTCGTGGAAATGCGACATTCAAAAACGGGCACTATGCGGCCTCGGGCAACATGGTTTATGGGAACTCACAAATGTTCATTATCGGCGGCACCTATCCAAACCCCGGAGATGAGGACATCTGCGATTTGGCTCAAGCAGCCTGGGCCCAGCACAACTTGTTCACGGGAACAAAGGGTAACGTCGGTGACCACCCGAATGGCACGTACTGGGCATTGCCCGACCCAAATATCACCTCCAACGTTGTCCCGGTCGATGTCTACAACGTCGTTGGCGGGGACAAGAACGGGGGCGCAACTGTTCTGTCTCCCGAAGCGGGCTACGACACTCCCAACGGCCTTCTCCACACCCTCCTGACGAGGCAGCCAACCTTCGCCGCTCGCACACCGACCCGCCCCGTCACCTCTACGGCGCCGCCACCTCCAGACCCGCCTCCGCCACCGCGTCGCCTGTCAACGGGCGCCATAGTTGGCATCGCCATAGCCAGCGCCACGGCGCTGGTCCTCATCAGCATTGCCGTGTGTGTCATGATCGGCTACCGCATCCGGCGGCGGCGACTCCTCCAAGAGCAGCGCCGGACGTCGTACTTGAGCGAGCAAACATGCGTGCCCGGCATCATCCCCAGCCCGCAAGAAACCGGGGCGCCCGCCGTGAGCGAGCCGTACAGCTCGTACTTCGGGCTCGGCAGCACCAGCCAGCACTCGGTGCAACAGTCAATGGGCGGCGACCCCGCGCAGCTGGAGGATACCAGCCCGAAGGTCCGTCCTCCGCCTGCTGAGCTGGAAGCGCAGGGCTCTGGCACGCCCGCTAGTCAGGAAGGACAGGCCCACTAGCAACATGGACGATAATGCCGACTGGACGCTGGTTCTGGCCCGGGCCGTCATTCCTCGGGAGGGTTATGCCAGCCTGGAGGCAGCTCCCAATAGTCACCTAATCACAAGCAGAAGGAAGTTTTGTGCCTTAGGGAGAGATTGCTCTGGCCGATCGGACGGGTAGAATGCATATGTCTGTCTCTGCTCTTACCGGGTGGTGAGTAGAAAAAAAAAGAACAGGAGGGATGCGCACCTGATGTGGTTTAGATCCAACTACCTTGGCCAAGGGGTTGGTTCTCTCCAGTCGCTGATGTGGATTGCCTGACGAGGATTGATGTAAATTAATCAGAGATTGGACCTTTAATCAAAAGTTAAAGGACAGTGCTAGTGAACTCGGATGCAGGAGAACGCCCTTTTCTTTTCTCCCAATCTTGTCATCTACTAGTAGATCTAGCAGAAATTCCTTTTCCTTTCTCCCAATCTTGCCATCTCCTAGTAGTTCTAGTAGGAACTCCTTCTCCTTTCCCCTATCTTGTTATCTACTAGTAGATCTTGCACAACCCCCTTTTCCTCTGTTTCAATCTTGCCATCTACTAGTAGCAGAACCCCATTTTCCTTTCTCCCGATCTTGCCCATCTACTTGTTGCAGGACCCCCCTTCCTTTTCCACAAAACCCCCAATCATGTCATACACTACTAAATCCAGTAGAATCCCCCTTTCCTTTCCCTAAGTTTTATCATCTGCTAGTAACGTTTAGATCTAGATCGCTTATGTAACGTGCATTATAAGCGAGTGGCCAACCTCCTCCTACCCTTGTTGGGCAGCAACAGTTACAGGCTCGAATAGGCATAGACCAACCAGGTGACACTGCATCAATTGAGGCACAAGATGAAGCTTGAATTGACTGTCTTTAACCATGCGTGATCTGTGTGTGTTGCTTAAAGAACCGAGGGCTTCGGGACCCTCGCCAGGCCCTGCTTTTGGGTGGGTGACGAGTCTTCCACGCTTACTGCATTGGGCAACAGTGCCCAGCACCTGAATCCAGGTGCCAAGGAGCCAGTTCAGTTCAACACAACCCCCCAGTTGCTGCCGGAGTACGGCGGCAACTGCCAGTCCGAACTGGTGTTGAGTGTGACGAACAGCCAGTCCTTCAGTGCGTCAGGCCGTTCCCTTGTCGTTCCCTTCCTCAGCTTCACGTTCAGCCTTTCTTCGTTCATCCAACTGGTCCGTCACATCCACCAGCCCCGATTGGGCTACGAACCGCTCAAAGGCTTGGTTCGTTAGGGCCTTGGTCAAGCCGTCGGCAATCATGTCGACACTCCGTGTATACAGGACCTTGATGGTGCCTCTCTGCACCTCCTGTCGGAGCCAGTGGTCGTGGATGTTGACGTGCCGTAACCTTGTTTGGAGCGTTGGAAGCTCAGAGGTAACCAGTCGGATGGTTTGGGTGTTGTCACACTCCAGGGTGACAGCGTCTTCGTCAAGAGAGACCTTCAAATCTGTGAGCAGTCGGCTCATGTACATGCCTTCCTTGGCAGCCTGACTGAGCGCCAAGAGTTCAGCTTCCGTCGTTGATGTGGTGACCGTGTCTTGTTTGCTTGCGCGCCAGCCGATGAGACCGCCAAACAACTTCATGGTGTAGCCTTGCGAGCTTTTGCGGTCGAGGCTGTTGTCGGCGTAGGATGCGTCGCTCGCAGTGCGCATGTCGTCTTCACCACCGAATTGGAGCGCCAAATGGCTGGTCCTCTTCAAGTAGAGGAGAACGCGGTCGGCGACGGTCTGATGGACAGGTCCTGGATTCGTCAGGAACCGGGCAAGCCGTGATACGGCAAAGGCGACATCTGGGCGTGTGATGACTGCGGCGTAAAGGATGGAGCCAACTTTGCGTTGGTAGGTGACAATCATGATTTTCTCGGCCACTCCTTCGTAGGGCAGGAGTTCTTCCTTGCTCATTGGGGTCCTTGGTGTGATGGGCTGAGCCCATGATGGCCTCGGCAACCCTCGGCCGTGGTATCATGATAACGTCATCCTGAAGCAGGCAGTGTCTGTGTGTTCCGGAGCATATAAGAGCTGCCCTCTCTTCCTGTCATCTAGTTCTCTCTTTTCTTCTTCTCTCTCCATTCGAGACAAACTCGTAGAGTCGTCACCAGCTAGTTGCAATATACTCTCACCATATCACCGTGGTTGTCCCTTCCTATGCGTCGCGTCCTCTCTTCTCCCCAGTCTCGCTACGCATCCGCTTCGTCTGCGCCGTCATGGACTTCTACCGCCTCGCTCCGCATGAGAAGAATCCGTGCCTTAAATGCATGCGCAAAGATCTCAAGGATTCGGACAAAAACGATCCCAATCCGCCGGAGTCTACCTGCCGCATCGAAACCGGCAAGTCACTGACTAAGTGCGCCCTCTGCGTGAAGAGAGGTGATCCGGGCTGCCTTCCGGTGTGTTTCGCTGGCGATTTCTTGGCGATAAGCTGACACTTCGGATGCTGCCAAAAGCCATGATTGGGGATCAGCAGGACATGACTGCGCTGGTCCATTGCATTCGCGTCTTGTGCGCCAAGGAAGATAAGGACGAAGGCGAGTATGAGGGGTTCGTGGCAGAGGATATCTCTGTTCTCGCGCGGGTTAAGGCCTACTCTAGGATACGCACCCAGAACCCGACGCGTTCTCTGTTTTCACGCCACCTCATTCGTCACATTCCCTGGTCTTCTCTCCACTCTGCTCCACCGCTCTCCACTCGACCTCGACGCGCTACGGTCCCGATCCGGTACTCCTAGACGCATTCCTATCGGACCTTATCACGACCCCTGCCACCTCGACGCACTCCGACCGCTATGCTTGCTGATTCGCTGAATGAGCTTGGGCATGCCGAAGAGGGAAAGAGCATGCCAAAAAGGGGAAAGGCCGGACGAGACGCGTTCCCAGGCCACTTTCTTGGTCTTGTGTCGAGACGCGTTCGCAGTCCACTTCTTGGTCTTGTGTGCTTTCACCTTGCGTGCGTTTTCACCTTGCGTGTTTTCTCTCACAAGTCGTTATCTCTGAGGGAAAGCATCCATAAGTAAAAAGGAACTCTCCCCGCTTTGGATCCCCTACTATGACGGCCAACCAGTTAGCGCCTGCCTTGCCGCCGCTCCGTTGCCGCTGGTCTCATCTGCAAGAGGAGGAGCGCGACCGCCGCCTTGCTGCAGTCGGCTTGGTCGTAAATACTCCTGAGCGCGCGTTGATCTGCCGCCCATGTGGTTACGCCTTGCAGCCAAACGGCGACTGCGTGACACGCCATCTCGCCGACAAGCATGCCATCCCGAAGCACTTGCGGGACGGCCTCTTCTTCTTCATCCGCTCCCTATCTCTTCCGGATCCAAACACGCTCCCCCTCCGCCCCGACTGGTCGCCGGCTCACCCGGATCTGGCTTCTTGTACTGGCGTCGCCTGCCGTCACTGCGCCTACCGGACTACCAGCGTCGATCTCATTACGCGGCATCTAGCGAAAGCCCACAACCGCCGCCGGGACCCGAGGCGGACGGGCTGGCTGCGCGACGAGATCTTCCAGGACGTCTCCCTGCAGAGCTGGACCCAAAACGGCGCCCGCGGGTACTGGATCGCTGTACGGGGCCCACACCCGCCCGAGCACGGACGAGAGCGGCCGGAGGGCGTTTCCTCCTCGTCCCGGCTGCGGGACCAGGCTACCACCGAGCAGAGGGCCGCCTTTGACCAGCTGTACCAGACCGAGCGGGACCGCCTAGCCAGCCGCTCGGCTGCTGCCCAGCAGGCAGATAGCATAAGTCCGCCTAGTCTAGCGCTACAAACGAATTGGATGCGGCGGACCGGCTGGCTAGAAACCTTTGACGGAGCGAGCCGTGACGTTCTCGTCAGGCTTGCCCTACCGCCGTGCCTAGACGGGCGCGGCCTGCGGCTGAGCGTGGCTGGCCGAGGAGATGATCCGATGGCAATTTGGAGCTCGCGCGAGGACG